CCCCCACTTCTAGGTGTCATTGTAATATATCCCCGCCCCCACTTCTAGGTGTCATTGTAATATATCCCCGCCCCCACTTCTAGGTGTCATTGTAACCAGATAATCAATGCTCTTCACTTCACCTTTCAGTGGTCAGAATGTTATGGTTGATCGGTGGTCAGTATGTTATGGCTGATCGGTGGTCAGAATGTTATGGCTGATCGGTGGTCAGTATGTTATGGCTGATAAGTGGTCAGAATGTTATGGCTGATCGGTGGTCAGTATGTTATGGCTGATCGGTGGTCAGAATGTTATGGCTGATCGGTGGTCAGTATGTTATGGCTGATAAGTGGTCAGAATGTTATGGCTGATCGGTGGTCAGTATGTTATGGCTGATCGGTGGTCAGTATGTTATGGCTGATAAGTGGTCAGTGGTCAGAATGTTATGGCTGATTGGTGTATGGCTGCAATTGCTGAACTCTCTTTCTGAAAATGTGAGTTGTCTTGCTGTCATGTTGAGTCAACAATTTACTAGTGACTGACCTGGAAGAAATAGGCAGATCATTTCGAAGTTTGCTGTGACTTGATCTGTTGTTTGACTTTTCTGGATTAACAACTCAAGAAGTATCGACCACCAAGTAACTAACTTAGTAAAACTGTAAATTGTAACATACATTTAGTTGTGCTTTGCTGGGTTTTAGCATTTTTTTTGTGCATGTTACTCAAGCAAAACAGCAACTAAAATACAGTACATACAGCAGCTTTTATGTAATGCAATACTATGAATCCAGCCTGAATCAGTCACACATGGAAATAAAAAATCGACCAACGCAATTTCACCATGAGGGGTTGTTTCACAGGAGCCAAACTTCCTAATCATTTCCACAGTATCAGTATTAACTGCGAACCCTCTCCTCCCCCACATCCACCACAGATACTATGCCCCCACTCTTTAGCCTGGGAGACACCTTCCTCTAAATGAATGCGTGGGTGTGAGGAAGGAAACAGCAGAGGCGGAAAGATTTGGTTCCGGCTGCATCCGCCCACACTTCTGTCCCTATGTAAACTTTTTAAGTCTGGAAATAAATCACATACGTAGCTGCCAACCACCAGTCAATGCATTACTGTAATTACATTATACAGATTATACATTCACATTAGCAGTTTGCCAAAAAGCATGAATACACATATGTAGTAAACTTTACACACACACACAGTGTGTGGACAAATCCCATTCAGAACTAGGTGCCAGCTTTATATAACCCAGGTGCCCGGAGCAGTTACAGAACGCATAAAAAATGCACCCAATGTATTCCAATTGTATTTTGGGCTCTAGTTCACACCAGAGCGTTCATTTTCAGAGTGGAAAAACTGCAGCACGCCCTATTTTTCTGCTCTGGAACGCACCAAAAACACATGCAAATGCCCTGGAATGCACTGAAAGCCCATTTTAGACAAAATAAAAATAAATTTAAATTTTTTTCTAAAAAATGGTCTGGAACGCGGCAAAACACACTGCACGTGCAGAAACTCATGTAGATCTGGTCTGCATTTGGTGTGAACGAGCCCTCAAGCAACCTGCATATGACTACGGTATATAGGTAGATGGAAGATACATAGTTAAAGAACTATGAGGCAAGTGAAAATCACTCAGCCTCATAGTTCGAGCAGACGTGTGACAATTAAACTGTCACATGTCGGCTCAATAGATCGGGAAGTGAGCGAAAAGATACCGTCACTCGCTCCTCGATCATCTCCCTGCATAGAGTGGTGACTGTCAGTCACGGCTCCCCGCAGGGATTCCCCCCCGTCCCTGCTCTGATCTTCAATCGCTGACTGGAGGAACGGACGGGGAGGGGGGTACAGCTGGCTCTGCCTCTAGATAGGCAGAGCCAGCTGTCAATCACGCAGCTGGGTGGATCTCGACAGCAATGTCGGGATCTGTCCCGGCTGCGACGGTCTCAGTATATCGTGAGCTGTGCAATATACTGAGCATTGGAAATGTCCGAACACCTGTAGCACACCTTACCGGACTTCCCATGAAGTAAATGGGTGCTCGCAATGACCGCGGATGGCGCCGCGTCAGGCAAAGATTGTTGTGAAGAGATGTCACCAGCACACCAATATGACAAACAGGTCAAAGTTCAGTGAACCTTCATTTTTATTTTTTAGAAGTCACTTAAAGTAGTGTCAAGCGCTTTCGGGGCCGCGCAGGGTCCCCTTCATCAGGCCAGAGAGTTTTTTTCAGTAACAATTGCAA